TGGTTGGATCAGTTCACAACTCTACCAACAGTGCATTAGTGGCCCAGTTTGACCATATTCCCTCCAGCATCCAACATTTTCCTTTGTTGTCATATTAACCAATCTGATAAGTGTGGGATGGCACCTCAGAGCTATTTTAATTTGCATTTCTCTAATCAATAATGATTTAAAGCATTTTTTCATGACTATAGATAGCTTTGATTTCTTTGTCTGACAGCTGCCTGTTCATATCCTTTGACTATTTACCAATTGGTGAATAACTTGTATTTTTATAAATTTGACTCGGTTCTCTATATATTTGAGAAATGAGGCCTTTATCAGACATACTTGTTGAAAATTTTCCTCCCCAGCTTTTTGATTTCCTTATAATTTTGGTTGCATTGGTTGTTGTTGTTGTTTTTTTTTTTTTTGCTAAAACTTTTCAATTCTATGTACTCAAAATGATCGATTTTACATTTTGTAATGCTCTCTGTATCTTGTTTGGTCCTAAATTCTTCCCTTATTCATAAACCTGACAGATGAACTATTCCATTCTCTCTTAATTTGCTTATAGTATAACCCATTATGTGTAAGTCATGTATTCATTTTGACCTTATGTTGGTATATGGTGTGAAATGCTGGTCTATACCTATACCATTTTCTAGTTTTCCCAGTAGTTTTTGTCAAATAGAGTTATTGTTCCAAAAGCTCGGATCTTTGGGCTTAGCATATACTAGATTACTTTGGTTATTTATTATAATGTTATTTGTACCTAATCTATTCTACTGATCCACTACTCTATATCTTAGCCAGTACCAGACTGTTTTGATAATTACCACTTTATAATCCAGTGTGAAATCTGGTATGGCTAGAACACCTTTCATTTTTTTCATTGATTCCCTTGATATCCTTGAGCTTTTGTTCTTCTAGATATTTTTCTAGCTCTATAATTCATTGAGTTTGAACAGCATAGCACTGAATAGATTAATTTAGCTATAATTGTCATTTTTATTATATTGGCTTGGCCTATCCATGAGCAATGAATATTTTTCCAGTTGATTAGATCTGACTTTATTTGTGTGAAGTGTTTTATAGTTGTATTCATATAGTGCCTGGATTTATCTCAGCAAGTAGACTCTCAAATATTTTATACTGTCCATAGTTATTTTAAATGGAATTTCTCTTTCTATCTCTTGCTGCTGGACTTTGTTGGTAATACATAGAAATGCTGGTGATTTATGTGGGTTTATTTTATAATCTTGTTACTTTGCAAAAGCTGTTAATAATTTCAAGTAGTTTTTTAGTTGATTCTCTAGGATTTTCTAAGTATACCATCGTATCATCTGCAAAGAGTGATAATTTTGTTTCCTCATTGACTATTCTAATTCCTTTAATTTTTTTCTTCTCTTATTGCCACAGCTAACATTTCTAGTACAATATTAAATAATAGAGGTGACAATGGGCATCCTTGCTTCATTCTTGATTATATTGGGAAGGCTTCTAGCTTATCCCCATTACAGATAATGCTTACTGGTGGTTTTAGATAAATATTACATATCATTTTAAGATAAGCTCCATTTATTCCTATGCTCTTTTGTGTATAATAGTAATGGGTGATACATTTTCCAAAGGCTTTTTCTGCATCTATTGAGATAATCATATGATTTCTGTTGGTTTTGTTATTGATATGATCAATTATGCTATTAGTTTTCCTAATATTGAACCAGCCCCATGTTCCTGGTATAAATCCCACCTGGTCATAGTGTATGTTCCTTGTGATATATTGCTATAATCTCTTTGCTGGTATTTTATTTAAAATTTTTGCATCAATATTCATTAGGGCAATTGGTCTATAATTTTCTATCTCTTGGCTATTCCTGGTTTGGGTATCTGCACTATATTTGCATCATAAAAGGAATTTGGTAGGACTCCGCCTATTTTTCCAAATAATTTATATAGTATTGGGATTAGCTGTTTTTTTAAATCAGGCCTGCACAACCTGCAGCCCACGGGCAAATCCAAAGGATTTCCTCTACATACAAAGGATGTTTTCCTTTACATGCTTCATGGGCCACCTGAAATCCTTTGGTGTGCTGCAAGCAGCCCGAAGGCCACAGGCTGTGCTGGCCTATTTTAAATGTTTGGTAGACTTCTCTTGTGAATCCATCTGGTGCTGTTTGTTTTTTTTTTCCCTTAGGAAGTTCATTGATGATTTTTTAAATTTTTTTCTAAGAATGGGTTAAGTATTTTATTTCTTTTGTTAATCTGGGTAATTTATATTTTTGTAGATATTCATCCATTTCATTTGGATTATCAAACTTATTGACATATAACTGAGCAAAATAGCTCCTATAATTGTCTTAATTTCCCCTTTATTGGTGGTGAGTTCACCCCTTTCCTTTTTCATACTAGTAATTTGGTTTTCTTCTTAAACTTTTTTAAAAATCAAATTAACTAATGATTTATCTATTTTATTGTTTTTTTTTTCATAAAACCAGCTTCATTTTATTAGTTCAATGGTTTTCCTTCAATTTTATTAATCTCTCCTTTGATTTTTCAGGATTTCCAATTTGGTGTTTAATTGAGTATTTTTAATTTGTTCTTTTTCTAGTTTTTTTTTTTAGTTGAATGCCCAATTCATCAATCTGCTTTTTCTCTATTTTATTGATGTAAGCAATTAGAAGTTTTCCCCTACGTACCTCTTTGGTTGCATCCCATAAAATTTGCTATGTTGTCTCATTGTTGTCGTTTTCTTTAATGAAATTATTGTTTACTCATTTGTTTTTTAGGATTGCATTATTTAATTTCCAGTTAATTTTTACTCTCCTTCCACCGTCCATTATTAAATGTAATTTTTATTGCATTGTGGTCTGAAAAGGATGTGTTTACTCTTTCAAGTTTTCTACATTTAGTTGTGAGGGTTTTGTCCTAATGGTCATGTACTGCTGAGAAAAAGATATATTCCATTCTATCCCCATTCAGTTTTCTCCAGAGGTCTATCATATATAACTTTTCCAGAATTTTATTCACCTCCCTAACTTCTTGTTTTTGTTTAGATTTATCTAGTTCTGAGAGGGGAAAGTTGAGGTCCCCACTAGTATGGTTTTATTATCTATTTCCTCCTGTAACTGATTCAACTTCTTAAAAAATTTAGATGCTATACCATTTGGTGCATATATGTTTAGTAATGATATGACTTCTTTGTCTATGGTACCTTTCAGCAAAATAATTTCCTTTTTTATCTTTTAATTAGATGTAATTTTGCTTTTGCTTTGTCTGAGATGAGATTGCTACCCCTGCTTTTTTTGCTTCAGTTGAAGCATGATAAATTCTGCTCCTTATCTTTGCCCTGTATCTCTCTGCTTCAAATGTGTTTCTTGCAAACAATATATTGCAGGATTCTGGTTTTTAATCCATTGTTACCCACCTCCATTTTATGGATAAGTTCATCCCCTTCACATTTATAGTTATAACTGTGTATTTCCCTCCATGCTGTGTTTTGCTTGTTTATCCTCCTCTCTTACTCCACTCTTTCCCTCCTCAAAAGTGTGTTATTTCTGATCACTCCCCCCAATATACCCTCCCTTTTAATCAGTCTCCCATCTCCCTTCTATTATCCCGGTCCCTTTTTACTTCCTTATAGGGTAAGATAGATTTCTATATCCAGCTGAGTGTGTATGTCATTCCCTCTTTGAGCCAATTTTGACAAGAGTAAGGTTTAAGCTTTGCTTACCATACTACCCCCATCTTCCCCTCCATTATAATAGCTTTTTCATGCTTTTTTTTGTGGGATAATTTATCCTGTTTAATCTCCTACTTCCTTCTTCTAGTGCAATTTTCTTTCTCACCTCTTTGTTTTTTTGGGGTATTATCTCATCAAAGTCACCTTATATCTATACCCTGTCTACATATCCTCCTTCTAACTGCTCTTATAGTAATGAAGTTAAGAGTTACAAATATTATCTTGCCATATAGAAATATAAACAGTTTAACCTAATTGAACTTGTTTTCTCTTTCTTGTTTCCTTTTTACCTTTTTATGTCTCTCTTGAATCTTGCATTTCATGGTCATATTTTTTTATTCAGCTCTGGTCTTTTAATTAGAAATGCTTGAAAGCCCTCTATTTTGTTAAATATCCATTTTCTCCCCTTCCCCTGAAAGATTACATTCAGTTTTGCACGTAGCTGATTCTTGATTGTAATCCCAACTCCTTTGCCTTCTGGTATATCATATTCCTGGTTCTTTAATGTGGAAGCTGCCAAATTCTGTGTAATCCTGACTGTAGCTCCATACTTGAATTCTTTTGACTGCTTGCAATACTTTCTCTTTGATCTATGAGCTCTGGAACTTGGCTGTGATGTTCCTGTGAGTTTTCATTTTAGGATCTCTTTCAGGCAGTGATCGGTGGATTCTTTCAATTTCTATTTTGTCTTCTAGTTCTAATATATCAGGGCAGTTTTCTTTGATAGTTTCTTGAAAGTTGTCCAGGTTGTGTGTATGTGTTTAATCATGGTTTTCAGATAACCCAATAATCCTTTTATTATCTCTCTTGGATCTATTTTCTAGGTCAGTTGTTTTTCCAATAAGAAATTTCACATTTTCTATTTTAACTTTTATTTTAACAAAATGTCTCACAGAGTCATTAGTTTCCATTTGTTCAATTCTAATTTTTAAGGAAGTATTTTCTTCAGTGAGCTTTCGTACTTCCCATTTGGCCAGTACATTTTTTTTTTATCTTTCCCCTGCTATTGACTTTTTTCATGATTCTCTTGAATTATTCTAATTTCTTTTCCCAATTTTTCTTCAACTCTAATGTGTTTTTAAAAATCCTTTTTAAAAAGCTCTTCCAGGAATTCTTTTTGGGCCTGAGACCAAATTACATTTTTCTTTGCGAGGATTCATATGTAGCCATTTTGACATTGTCTTCTTCTAAGCTTATGCCTTGATCCTCCCTATCATCATAGTAACTTTCTGTAGTCAAGCTTTTTTTGTTTTGTTTTTGCCCATTTTCTGACTTTTTTGTGACTTAGTGTTTTTATGACAGTTGGGCTCTGGTCCTGCACTGTTCCAAGCTTTTTGTGCTAGGGTTCTGGGTCTTACTCCTGGTTTTCACTGGGCTTTAGGGCTCAGCTGCTTGCTTTGTCTGGAGGGTACTCCCTTTGGCTTATACTGGGTGGGTGGGGGAGGTGTGGAGCCTCCCTGTTGGCCTCACCTGGGTGTGGGGTTTAGCTGCTGGTCTGCTTCAGGTGTGGGGCATTGCTGCTGGGTTGCTATGGAAACAGGGACTCTTTGCCTGTTGGCCCCAGGGATGGGGTCTCAACTGTTGGCCAGCCCTGGGGCAGGGCTTCACTACTGGTTAGCAGTGGCATCAAGGCCTTGCTTGGTAGCTTGTGCTGGGGGTTGGGTCACTGAGGTGGGGCCTTGCTATGTTGCACAGACTGCTCAGTTGCCTAGGGGGCTGCTGGTTTGCAGGAGAGTGGGACCTGGCTTGGTGGATGGCTCCAGGCCCCTTGCTGTGAGGCTGGCTGCTGCTGCTCCTGAGACAGACCTTTCCTCCTGTGCTGGTATGTTGCTTCCCTACTCCTACATAAAGTCTGAGGCAGTTTTCCAGTTGTGTGGAGTGGAATTTGGGAGGACTTCAGAGTGTTCCTTCTTCATTCCACCATCTTGGCACCTTAAGTTGTGAAACCCCTCTGGTGCTTTTTAAAGGCTTTTCTGGTGTGTTTAGGGATCTAGGCTCCTCTAGGTGCACACACTGCCATCTTCCCTTACCTGCTCCTGTAGGTCCATATTTATCCTTAACAAACTGGTTTATTTAGCAGAATGTTAAAATGACTGATGCTTTTGTCATTTTAGGGGTACTTATTTTTCTTTTTTTTACATTTACCACTAAAGCCTTATACTCTGATGCTTTATTATGGGAAAAGGGTGACATCAGGTTCTCAAAGACAATTCGAGTGCAGAAGTATGATAAGTCTAGATATCACAGGCCCAGCACTATATCTGTTGAAGAATCAACCTAACTAAATCACAGAGGCTTGTTACCAGATTGTCCACACTGAATTTTTTGGCTATAGCAACTTTTCTTCTTCGTTTTGCTTTTTGGTGAGGCAGTTGGGGTTAAATGACTTGTGCAGGGTCACACAGCTAGTAAGTGTCATGTGTCTGAGGCCAGATTTGAACTCGGGTCCTCCTGACTCCAAAGCTGGAGCTCTATCTACTGTGCCACCTAGCTGCCCCTACAGCAACTCTTAAAGACCATTTGTCTTAAGCGATTTCAGTTTTTTATCTTGATTGATTTGAGGCTACTTACACCAATTATATCACAGGTTCTTTAAATAACATATGAAAGGGACATTTTTGTGATTTAAAATCAGCCCTGGCAACTAAAGAGACAAGCAAAATTTATTACTGCATCTTAATACACCTACAACATATCCTAATATTTTAAAAGTTCTATAATACCAATAGTGGCCATTAGGTTAAGTAACAAATACATTAGGTTGAAAAGTGTTCTCATGTGGGAAATTGGCTAGTATAGATTACAGTTAGTTAACATACTTTAGGAATTAAACCACCAGAAGGTTCGGGGCTTCCGTGCCAAGGCTGGGCAGGGGAAAGACTTCAGCCATTTATGAGGCTTTATTAGAGTACGTCAAATAACAGGTGCTGCTGTATATTTCCAATGATATTCCTATCAGTGATGGTCTGCATTTGGCGTCATCCTCCTTACTCGTGGCATGTGTTATCTTGTCTATGAATCTTGGTTGGGACATGTGATTTCACTGTTGCAGAAATCCCTGGTGAACAAATTCTCCCTCTATCAAAGAAGACAGACAACTGTTCTGCATGTTTAGTCTCACAGGGCTGTCTGAAGTTAACTGAATTGTTTAGGGTCACACAGCCAGTATGTGTCAGAGGTGACACTTGAACACAGATCTTGACTCAGTTCAACTCTACCAATGTATCATGCTGTCTTGGCATATATTGCTGAAGGTGATTTAAAGCTTTAAATTAAGTTCATAAGAAAATGGGTCACAAGTCATTTGCTTCTGTTTCTTGTGAAAGAATCTAATTTCTTTTTCTCCAATAAGCTTCACAACTTCATGTATTTATACATCTTTGGTTAATATTCAACACAAAGGTCCAGCAACTGTGAAATGAGTTCTTTAGGAATAAATAAAACTCCAAAGGCTCACAAGGCAATCTTGAAGTCTATATTGCTATAAACCCCAGAGACTGAATCCACTGAATGATTTTGCTGTTTTGCCTCTCTTTCTAAACCTGAATAGCCAATTAGTCAAATGAGCTCACTGGAGGTGTAGGGTTAGATAAGTTATTATCTTTATTCTTTCTTGTTTTTGGAAAAACTTAAAATATAATGAGTTTGCTGACCTCACATCAGGATTCATAATACAGATCTTACACAGGAAATGGCAAGAAAAAAATTCATCCTATACACGTAGCTAAAACTTTAGATATGGTAAATTTGAAAAATGTAAACCAAATGAAACGTACTTAGCGAAATGAGATACTGATTCAGAGTCATGAATACTAGAAAGCCTTGATACCAGAAACATTTGGTCAACATACATCTTTATAAAAAATTCAAGGCAGGGATAAAACAAAAATATAACTCTTAACTAAAGGTTTAAACTTCAGCTGAATAAACACTTTACTGCAACTACTTAAATACTACTTGAACATTTACTGTTTTAGGGCATCACATAGAGAGCATGTACAGCATGATCACTAAAATAAGCAAAGCCAACCTAACAAACAGGAATACATAAAATGAACAGAATGAGGCAGATATTGGTGGGTTTGTTTCCACTTGGCTCTGTTTAGAAGTAAAATAGAAGACAGTAAAAATCTATCTCAGACACTTCTCATCCAACTGATTTTCCTAGGGTATCTTCTAGATAAAGGTAGGGGGACAGAAGATTTTCAAGGAGTCTTTTACCCATCAACGCCACCAGGAGTGTACCAGGAGTGACTTTAGACGTGTCTATCATCTATCCTCTACAGAGCTGATGTATGTAGGTGTACTGGAGATACAGATGTATTTCCCAGCAAACTGGAATTAGGTACTACTCTGGAAAAGCAGTAGAATGAGAAGGGTGGTGAAAAGAGTGGGGTGAAGAAGGGTGGGGAGAAGTTGGGTGGAGCAGAGGGGTGAAGAATGGATAACTGAATTACATGTTAACAATTTTGAAGTTTTAAATATTTAGTTTCAATGATTTTACAAAGCAAGTGAGTAGCCTATGAAACAAAGTTCTCTTCTCGAGTGCCTAATCCCATGTAATGCCAAGAATCTAAGAGCATTAAGCGACCCAAAACACCAATATCATACATGTCCAGGCCAAAGCGGAACTGTTTGCCCAAGAAATATACTGTGATTGAGCACATGTGGAGTGTCTTCTCTGCCAAACTGAGTCTTTCTAGTACTAGGATCCAAAGAAAAAATAAAAGAGGACATATTTTTATCATTCATTGTCCTTTAACCTTCAGGAACATCAATATAAACAGTTCTAACTCAAAATAATTAGAACAAATTGCTATAAGCCAGGAACTGTTGGAACCAAGATTTCCTATACATACTATTTAAAAGGACTACAAACTGTTTTTTGGGTGTCATTTCTTTAATATATAATTTTATTTCTGGTTATAGAAACAAATGCTAAGAGGAGAAGCAAAACTTCTCCCAACCACATACATCAATTTTAGATAACAGATAACAGAACAGTTAAAATAAATGAAAAAAAGTAGAAATCTTAAACTTTGTTATAGCTTTAAAACATTAACGTCTGATACAATTAGAAATCACATTCAGATCTCAAATTACTTTAAAAAAAAAGTATGGCTCCTTATAAAAAAAAATACTGTATCCCATTTGAAATGAAAACACAGGTCTAACCTTAGATGCTGGTTTTTCCGTCTTTATGATAGTCCTCTTTCCTCACCACCCTGTTAGCTGGTTTCTATACCTTTCTTAGTTTCCCAAAATTCATATAAACAGACCAGTTTGGTTCCCCCCCCCACAGATAGTGAGACATTACAATATGATATGACCTAAAATTTACATCCAATGCCATAGACCCAAGCTCCCACTTTACAGAGACACCACCTGCTTTTTAAAGCACTGATTATTAAACAAGTTGTGAAAAACACTTTAAACAGCCACTGTAAAAAAACAACAACAATAACAACACACACACACACACATGCACACATTCTCACACTCAAAAGTATCTTTACATGTTTGGATAAGGAAAAAAAGCAATCCACAAAGCTGGCTTTATCTTATCCACTCCCTTAAATTAAGTGCCAAACTGTCAGGCAAAGGAAGAGGCTCTATATATAGCTTCTCTTTAGTCATCTGTACATGTAAGGGATATATGAGGTTCTGTTTTCTTGAAGTTAGCCAAGCCCATGAAGATATTGTGGAATCTAGACTTTTTCCCCCCATCTTTTATCTAGTCTTCTGTGGTACAGGAAACAATCCACACAAAAAGACAGTAAATTTTAGGTAAAACTGTTTCTTTTTAAAAAAAAAGTTTTTGAATTTAAAATGTTTCTCCATTTGTATTTTTTTACATATTTAATTTCTAAACCAATTAGTTTAGCTGGTTAGAGAATAATGCTAATGAATCTAAGGTCATACCTTCCACTAGAGAAAAAAACAATTTTGCTTTGCAGCCAGCCAGATTTCACTAAACTTCAGCAAGCTCACACTCTGTGCCATATGTCACAAAGGCTAATTAATGAGAGTATGGCTGGTTCAACACACCCCATCACAACAAATGGAAACTCACTGCCTCCTGCACCTCATGCTGACCTGTGGGTTAGAAGCCTCTTTGCATATGAAGGACATCCAACATTTAACACAATCAATCAACTCTCACCTTCTGCATGTAGCAGATACATATATAGCTACATATCCTACAAAAACACAGCTGGATTTGAAAATGCCTATGCTGCCAGAGTGAAGAAAGCATTCCAGAATTCTGAGACACTTTAGTTCCCTTTAAAAAAAAAAAAGGTAAGAAAACAAAACTTCTCCACTTATTAGTTTAAAAAGAAAGGTCATCTTTGTATGGTAGAATTACCCTTTTAAATTTCAGAAACATTACAATATCCTTGATTTTTCAATGACCTTTTCAGAACTCCTGTGCCACCATCTGAATATGACTAGTCTACTAAAAGCTAAAAAATCAAGATTTGGCTGGTTTACTTCTCAATAAAGTAGAATGGGAACTCAGTTTGATTTATTCTTCACAAGCTATCTTTTTAATAGAGGTGACTCATTTTCAAACTATTGTAAATAAATCAGTTCCTCCATGACTCTATCCATGTTGAATCCAGAATTTGTTAACATTACTCTAGCTTTTTCTTCCCAGGGACCATTACTAAAGCTTGTGTGTAACAAGAGAATGCAAAAACTGATCATTTTTGAGACTAGCATTTCTCCCATAAAACTAAGTAGCTTTAAACCAAATTGTTTTAAAAAACTTTTTCCTAAAGTGCTGCACTGAAAATGTTATGGCCATTGTTTAAAAGATAAGAAAGATATGTGGAAATGCCTAAACTAACTAAATCCTAGAAAAAAGATTTTAATTGGGTTTCTGGATGAAATACAGTGAAATGCTTGGAAATCATTCTGTTCCTATTTGAAGACATTGCCATTATGAGTATGCCAAGTTAGTTACAACTTCCCCAAACATCATACAATGAAATTCATACTCCCAGGGTCAGAAATGAATAAAAATGCTAATCACACAAACATTTATAATGATTAACTTCAGGGGATGTCATAGACAAATGGGGGCTTAAGACTTCAGGGACAGATTTCAATCTCTCTAGAAAAGGAGAGGAAACAGAATTATCACTTGGAGTAGATGCGCTTATAACTGCAATGTCATAGTTTCTGAGTACAGCTTTAACTTCCTGTTTGGAGCTTCTAGTAAATTCAGATGAACAGACAGGGCATCAATATTAATTAATCCTGATATCCTCCCTTCTCTTAACTCTTGCATGTACTTTTCATCTAACTTCCTTCTAGTTACTTTATAATTTCAAGATTATCCCCTTTATTTATTATTATTATCATCCCTGTCCCTCCTTGTCATCATCAGAAGGAAGCTAGGGAAAGACTATTTCAAACAATTATAAATTTGGGTGATATAGTATAAAAAATAATTTAAAGGGACCCTAGGACTCAGGCATTCCGAAAGTGCATTCTCTTCTTTCTTTACACGTCACTTTACAGGAGAGATGAATTTGAAGATCTCTCCTAGAAGAAATATAACTTGTATATCCAGAACTATATGGAATAATAGGAGAAAAGAAGGTCTCTACTGGGGTAAGGAGATATAAAATGGAGAAATAATATAGTCCTGCCAGGTAAGAGAAAGGATATAGTTACTGGACATAAAAATCTAAGGGCATTAAGCTCAGTCTCCAATTCCTAAGCTACACTCTATATACTACATTTTCCTAGGATTAGAGCCTGGTTTTAATATCCATTTGTATAAAAGTAATTTAAAGTACCATTTACATTCAAAGGGGATAGTTATGCAAACTTACAAATTATGTTATATACATATTCATAAATGTATTTAAGAGAATCTGGAACACAAATATAAAGGAATTTATTTTCTGTTCTCTTAATGAATTATGGCTTGTTTTTGAATAAAGGGGTTAGGTTAGGATTTAAAGATCCTTATCTCTTGCTTAAGAGCAAGATTTTAAATAAAGTTATAAAGAAATAGTCTCCTTTCTTCAATCTGAGATTTCCAAAGCCACATTCTAAATAAATTTATGCCTTTAAGAAAATCAAAATTATACCTCAAATTCTACCTTCTGTCTTTAGCTTAAGAAATTGCTTTCTCAACACATTCAGTGAAATGGCAATATTTTAGACTGCAGTCAAGAGGAAACCTTAATGATTAGGTAATGAACACCATTCTTCCAGGCAACTGGGATGGAAACTTTGCTACAACTGTACTGTGCTGAGTAGGATCCTTGAGATGGATGTAATATGCCATGTAACAGGCAGAGAAGCCCCAACAGCTGCTCCAGGGAAGTCAAGCAGGAGTCACTTATTGGATGTGGATCCAAAGAAAACAATGTTCTGACCAAACTCCTCCCCAACACTCTGGGCAGCAGGAGCTTGGGGTGAGGTACATTCAGGGAGCAAAGGCATTGTCTGCCTGTATGAAACTATATACCACATGTTAGAATTCCTGTAATGCAACATTTCTAAGTTATTTACTGTGCACTAAATGTAGCAGGTTTCCACATTTTATAAAATGTGGAAAGCTGTTGTATCAAACCGAAAGAACAGATACAATGAGCATAAAGATGAACAGAATCATATCCTGAGTATTTAAAAAAACCCTGATGTGGAAAAAAAGGATATGGGGAAAGAACTTCTAATAAGTGTCATAAATATAAGGACACAATTTGGAAATAATGGGAAGTGGAAACACAGTGATTCTGGTTAAGTCTTAAAAGACTTTCATTGAAGGTTTATTTAAACCTTACAAGGAGATTAAATGAATCTCAGAAGCACTTGTGTCATATATATATATATATATATATATATATATATATATATATAAACAATTTGGTCTCTGTAGCAGCAAGGAAACTAAAATTAGCTTTTTATTAAATAACATTGTTCCTAGGTAATACTAAAATAAAGACAACTCACAATAAGGTTGTAGGTAAAAATTCTCATTATAAGAACAAACTAAGTTGTGGATTAAATAAGCTAGAGGGCTTTTGTTTTTATTTCTATTTCTGTATCACTAATGGATAACCCATGACAATGATGATGACACCATTTAGCATTCATATAGCCAGTATATTTGCAAAGTGTTTTACAACTGCTTTGGCCAGTCATTAGTTTTTAGCATAAGAGTACAAGAGACAGACATATGCACAATGGTTGTTTTAAATATTTTTTAAAACATCCAGAGGGTACAGAATTTTCCCTAAAGTAGGTATTATCTTAGGGAAAAGAGGCAAACAAGATAAAACTGGAACAGCAAAAAACAAAGAGAAGTACAGTTCCTTATATCAGATGAAGTCATTTAACTGCAAAACTTCTGAGTAAAAAAGAAAATATAACAATGCCATGTAACCTCTGCCCCTCAACTGCATTTTTTTGTTCAAATCCTGCATATTTAATAACCTATAGAAAGAAGACTCTTCTAATACTTTTTCACATTCAGCCAAATTTTGTACGAAAGATGATGACATGAGAGCTGCTGCTGGTCTCCAAAGCACAAGTATAAAGTAAAAAGACATATAACATTTCAGAAAATACAAAACAAAAAAGGCTCTCTCTCTGATCAGAACTCTCCAAATTACCTAGCAAGTAATGCTGTTACTTATGCTGAATGAAAAGGATATAAAGAAAATCAATTTCTAATAAAACTAGTTGATCCCACACAACTCACTTTGAAATATCACCTTCATGGTAGTCCTTAATTATTTTGAAGAAATAACAAAAGTCAGATGAAATTCCATCCCACTCTGCCCAACAAATTACTCCAACGACAGTTAATGGAATATGTCTCATGGCCTTAGGACTAAAAGAGTTGTCATGCAAAATGCTTGTACACCCATATATAGCAGTCTAAATAATAACACTGTCACTTAGGTTTGAATAGTATAAGCATGCAAGTGTAATGATTGTGATATTCTTTTTACGTCTAAATTTTTTCTTTTACTTTTTTGTTTTTTGGGAGGAGGGAGAAGAGAGGAAGAAAGCAGAGGTAAATGAGAAAAAAAAAAAGGACCTGTGAGCAGTTTACACTGAATCACAAAATCAGATGCCCTCAGGAAAACTGACAGGATATTACTCCAGACTTAGAAGTCACTATTCATTCTACTTTTTATTTATTCCCATCCATTTATCAGAAATGCTTCTAATCTCTTCTCTGAGCAATGGATTCAGATCACCTTAACATGCAATTCATCTGGGGGGTAAGCTACCAGTGGGCAAACCTGAAAGCCCTAGCTACCGTGGTAATGTACATAACAGAGAAACAAAGACAAGAGGAAAAAGTGTGTCTGGAACACGATTTTGGTACATTTAAATGAATTTTGTTTTTAAAACTAAGGCAGCTCTCCCAATTTAAGGGGGGCGGGGAGGAGGGAGCTAATTTTTTTCCCAAACCAAATGAGGGAATATATTTGTAATATATGTATATTTAGAAAATTCAGAAGAAATAAAAGAATGAGCCATCTGAATCCCCAAAAATCATTTAAATTATACTATTTTACATTCTGCTTACAGGAAAAAGAACTGAGACTTGGATAAAATATCATCATAAAAAATCACAGAGCAAAAAAAAAAAGGTAAGAATGGTTCTTGTTCTGATAGAACAGATAGATATTGTTCTGATAGAAAGAGGTAAACTCATGGAACAAAACATTAGATTAGTAAACTCCTTGAGGTTAGGGACTCATATTTCTTCTGTATCTACCCACAGTGCTTAGTATAATGCTCTATTATGTGAAGATTCAATAAATAACACAGAATTACTGACCTTTGGTGCTTAACATTAATCACATACTACTGAAGCATAACCTTTGGTTGTGATGCCTTAATAGTAAAAGGAGATAGGTGATAGTCTTTACAAACTGATATCCCAAATACCAACACACAGTTAAAAATTGTCTACCAGCTGTTCTAAGGGCTTGTCAATTGTGAAGTACTGTTCTTATATCAGCAACATCAACATCACCACAAAATACATTTAGAGAGAATGAAGAGGAGAAGGAATACAGGCAGGCTAACTGGCAGAACTTTTGGGGGTGGGTTTCTTATGTTTTATATATATATATATATATATGTATTTATTTCAGTATGTTTTCTTGGATTCTTAAAAAGTAAAGTTCTTTATAAGCAAATTTCCTGCTTTCTTCTCAGGTAGGAAGCAAAGAAGGGGAGCCATAAAGGGCAGGCAGGAGGCAAATGTGAACACATGTACCAGGATGGAAGGAAGATGAAGATGAACTCCAGGATTAGAGCAGCACCCATCAGACACATCTAGATACATACTGCTTTCCCCTGTCCCAAATGGTAAAGGTTCTTTCCAGGAATTTCTAAAGCCACCAAACATCCCACTTTGGCATTTCTGCCAGATATCTCTGCCACAAACACTGGCTTAGAAGATATAAGGCAATATTTCCTGGCTATAATCTAAACCTTTCTAAGGTTATTATAAAACAAAAGATCTATCATGGGTAATGATTTCCTCAATGTCCACCACTTTTCTCTTGACCTCGATCCTTTTTATTTCCTTCATCATGCAACTCTTGCAGAAGTTTAAGGTGCTAAAAATCTCAAGGGGAAATTCCTTCCATTGAAATCTTGCTGTTTCCCTCCTTTCCTATTCACCATTCTATTTCCCTTCTAGTTGTGAACCAACCCTTACTAAGACATAAAGTTTGCACAGATAAAGCAGTTAGTGCTTTCTGATGGCAATAAAACTAATTAACAGTTGGGAGCAATAAATTCAGATGAAGCAAAAGACAGAAACAAATATTTTTAAAAATATGTAAGCCACCATTTTCTGCTAACCTCTCAATACGGAGTGTTCTTTACCGAAAATCCCAGCTTGGAAAAGAGAAAGTCTGTGGTAGCCATAACTGAAGACCAAACATAGCTCCCACCACCTTAAGTCATTTCCCTCTTCTAGGCTATATACAAGGAGTACTTAGAACAAATACCAATTAAGGATGGGTAAAGAAGCAATTGGTGGCCCTAAAAAGTCACTAATTACAAATCCTCTAACCTGAACAAGACCCTGGTTTTGTTAGTAACTGAAGTTGTCAGTGCAGAATGAAGCCTGCCTGACATCAATTAATTTATCACTCAAGTCTCATTTTCTCTATCACTCAATTCTAATTTCTCTCTCTCTCTCTCTCTCACACACACACACACACACACACACACACAAATTTAAGAAAATGTAAGTGTGGAATGGAGCATAATTTATCATCATTAAAGGTGGGGAAAGTATCTCTGAGAACTGCATCGCTGGTTTTCTCATTCCTAGTGCTCTGAAACTTTTTTCATACTTAATACTGCATGGATGTCAATGTTTTTGTGACTGTGGTACCCTTTTAAAATTTAGTCACATATACATTTTCCCTTTTTCTTTTATTGGACAAAAGGGAGCATTTCAATGAAGGGCTCAGTAATTTTTTATAAGAGAAGCCAGTTCCCTCTGATCCTGACTGAAGAGGACACATGTAAAGGGCAATTGTGGTACAGCTCTTTTTTCCTGGCATCTCACCAGGCCACCTTCCTCTTAAACTTCTGGTTAAATCAAGGGGTTCTGACTGCAAATTGTTAATCTCTAAAGTGGGCTTAATTAATGCCCACTGCTTGAAATAATTAAAAAGAAAATAAACAGCTAATTCTTTTGTTTTAAAGCAGAACATTATTGGTTAGTTCCTAACTCCTATGAAATTTTCTTGCCTTTAATTTGTCTCATATATTTTATGGGGAAGTTTTGAACACCACTGCAGTTTTTCTAACAGGGCTTATAAAGATGAACTAACTCTAAACAGAGTTAACTGGTTGTGGAGGTGGGGAAAAGGAAGGTACTCCTGACTTTTTTTTCCCCTTAAAAAAATAGAAAAAGAAAAACATTTCCTGATACTTGAGTTTTGTGTACAACATTTTTTTTTCTCCTGATGATGACTGACTACTGGGAGAAGCAGCACCAAAATATTTAACAAAATAAGAGATAACTTTCTAATAGAAGCATTCCTTCATCCCTGCTGCACACTGCTCAGGAAAACAGACCAATAAAAATCTGAATAGACAATAATATTCCCTATGTTCCCACCTCCTTTCAACATACTTGACGTAGCTGAAACTGCCAAGTGTGCAAGTTTAGAAGGTATTTTCCTAAGAAACATATAGATTCATTATATCAAAGCACTTCATTTGCTTTTCTTCTTCAGAGAGCACTGCTATTTATTTACTTCTTTTTAGCCACAAAACGAATTCAGACAGACAGGGTAACTAAACCCTGGGAGAAGGAGGATACCAGTGAGTAATCTCATTATTTGGGAAGGTAGTTTCCATTACCTTGAATTGACCCCAAAGATTTTAGTATTTTAGATAAAAGAAATATTTTCCAACTGTAATGATAATCTGCAAAAGAAAACTGGAATTTGGGTAAAATTTAAATAAAAAGATTAAGATTATAAAACTGCATCCAGCTATGCTGAGACTATCACGTCTTCTATTAGGTTATGGGGAGAACAGTTCTGAGAAACCTTTGCTCTACTTTCTTTCACATCAAATGAGCCACATAGTTCTGTCTAGAAGACTTAGTTATAATGGAACTTTACCATTACTGCAGGGAAGACAGCACAGAGGCTCAGTTCTGATTAACATTCACTCCAAATACTGAAACCTGGATACTATTGTTATGATTTAGTCCATCAGCTTTTTGCTAGTCTTCCAACCAAAGGACTTTCTAACAGTACTAAGGCAAATACATGTTCTAATACAGGAAACTATCATAATTTCCCCTAATATGACATTAACAGTTATAGCTATGGATTAACTCCACGGTGTGATTAATGCATGCATCATGCATGTAAAACTAAAAACAAAAAGGCGGCGGGGGGGGGGAAGAGGAGAAGAATTCCCTCAACTTCTGTCCAAGATGTATATGTAGGCTTAGTTTAAAAACAGATGGTACATGTCTGAACAAAGCAAGAAACATTGTGGGGTCAAAACCAAACCAGTTAAAAACAATACTAATGTCAATACCTTCTCTTTTGCCTTTCTATGAAAAAAGACATTTATGAAATAACAAATTGGTCAATTCCTGTTGTTCTACCCCCTGGTCCCTACCCCAACAGCCTGCTCTCAATCTCCTACATAAATAAGAATTCATTCTAAACACAATTATTTTTCTTTAAAAGAATTGTTTGTTGGGTACCATACTACTTTAATGCTGTCACTATGTTAACCTGTGTCAGTCTTCTTGTGATGGTCAAGGCTGCTTCCTTAAGAACATCAATGTCAAACTCTGAGAGGCAGCATTAAGGCATTGGAGAAATAAGGAACCTTCTTCTTATGGAGCAGACATTTGTGATACATTCCTTGAGATACTGAACTGCAATCTCTTCCCCACCCTCTTGAAGAAAAGGCTGGGGAAAAACAGGAGGTGCTGAAAAAAAAAACAGAATTCCCAGCAGTCATACAATCAGTTGTCTGTATTTGTTTATGTGGGTTTTTTGTTTTGTTTTGTTTAACTAAAAGGTATGGAAGAGAAAACAAAAGTAAAGGCTGAGCTGAATTCCAGGTACAGGTACAGGTAGATGGAAGCTTTTCCCAAGCTTTCCCCAATCTGTTTGGCACCTCGAGATCTGATGAGCTGTGGAGCTGTCTTTCCTATCTCACGTTAAGAAAAGTGGCTGTTTAGGCAGTTACACTTCTGTTCTACCATTCCTTTTGATGCGCCTTCTGCTCCACCTATATTCCAGCTCCTTTCCCAGGTACTTCATTCACCGGTTCCTTGCCCTTGTGGGGTTGTAGATGTTATCACCCCAGCCTGTGCGACAACAGTTCCACTAGGTTCCTCCAGCCGAGGTCTTTTGACATCTGGCTCCCCTGAGGAGGCTGCCGGGTCTTCTGGGCCCACTTCACACACCCGAGTAACCACTACAGGAGTGGAGGAGCTAGCCTGGGCTGCGAGAAGTTGCAGTGGGTTTGTAAGGGCTGGGAATTGAAGAGACATAGATTTAATATGTAAAATTAAGACCAACACTTGTTCTTCTGAACAAAGGTCAAAACCAAACCACCTATGTGGTAACTGAGTAAATGACAGAGAAAAGAAGCTTACCACTACACTCAAAAATTATGATGGAAAAATCTACAACATACTTAACTTGAGGATAAATGACAGCTGTACTGAGCAAAACATTCCACATTTTGTATTTACCACAGCAAGAGAAGTGAGAAAAATCTAGGTAATAAAGTGGAAGAAAATGAATGCAAAGACTACTAAAATCTTACCATAAGAAGTGCCAGTGATGCTGTTGGTAGGAACAGCATGCTTTCCATTTTGTGTCACTGCCCTAACCGGGAGCTGGTGTTGCCCAATGGTCACTGGTGTTGCTGGCTGAAGTATTGTAACTGTTTGTCCTGGAACTCCCTGAGCCATCTGACTGGCAACCGTCTGGATGACTCGGCTGGCAGTTGGAATTGTTGCGAATGCAATCGTAGGCTTATCTTCCAATGCTAACGAAATTTAAAGAACATTATATTATAGACAAACTAACAGAGGCATTTCTCTTCATTTTTACTTGACACAAACACATCAGAACTGCTAAAAAAAGAATAATGTAATTCAAATTCAGTAACAGATTCTATGTCTTGGGTAACAACACGGCAGACAGAGTTTCAAGGTACTCAATCACTTAATACACTATTTGTTTAAGGAATGTTGACTGAAAATGGGAAAAGATTTAGAATCCTTTTTAAGCAGAAATTTTTCAGATTTCAAGTACACTGTCAGAAGGCCACGACATTCCACTAAATGAAAAGGTCAAGAATCCCCTATTATTTCCCAATAAATTGAATGAGATATTTCCTATACAGCACATAAGTTAGTCTTAAACAAATTTACATCACTTTTAAAAAAACATTAAATAGCTGTCTGATGGTTTTTATGTATCAACAGTACCACCTTCTCCAAACAAATGACAAAACTAATAACCCCATAACGTTTCTTCATCTGATTAACATAATCACTCAAATTTCAAATATCCATAATTTGATTTTAAAAACATAATGTCAACAATGTTTCTATTTGCCTGAAGTGTTACAAAAGCAGTTACTCACAAAAATGCAATTCTCCTACTGATAGTCCCACAAAAATACTGTGAAGAAATAGAACAAAGCGATCAAAAGATAACAACTAAGAGATATTACTTATTTTACAAGAGCTGAGTCAATTTTTCTTTTCTTCTCTTTTTTTTGTGTAGTGACTTAAATTTTATAAGATATCCCACTAAGCTCATGAAAGTCTGAATTTCTAGTTTGGCAATGAACTATTCATTTTAAATTACTTCTACAGCCTCTTCACTAGAGGTCCTATTGCTATAACTACTAACTCATTTCCACAGGCTGATTCTTTTTATGTTAAAAAAATTTATATTTCAATTTCAGAAAAGATCCAGACAGTGAATATAACTGTGAAGAAAAACTACCAAGTATTCAAAGAAACCTCTGTTTTGTGACCTATTTAAATAGAGAGCAGAATTTGTAATTTAAAAAAAAGAGTACAATTAATACAAACAGTTCATGGGTTGAAGAAATGGTTTTAAAAAATCATCTTCACATTATCTGCTACTATACTTCTGCCACAACTCATCCGTGTTTCCACTACTGTGCTCTTTGATGTTTCAGAAACCAAGCTCTAATTCAGTTTATATTTTACAAAGGCCAAAGTTGTCCACATCAAGATCAATGAAATTACCAAATGGATAGGTTACCTCTTGGTTCACTGCCCAAATCCAAAACTGTGCCTGCTGCTTCGTGGCTATTTCCTGCTGTGCCCTGACTGGTAAGTATGTATCCATTAGCTGAATTAGCAGATGTGGTCACAACTCTGACCATTGTAACAGTGGGAGCTTGTTGCACAACATGAATTGCATGACCAGAAGGCTGCTGTGAAGTCACTATTGAAGCTGGCATGTAAGCAACTGGTTTGGCCACAAGATTAGATGGTCGGGGAGGAACAGCCATTATTACTGGCTGAGCACTAACAGGAGAACCTAAAGAATACAAAAAGTGAGAAAGATAGTAAAGTTTATATATTACATGGTATTTTAAAAAATTCTCTTGACATCAGCTCTGGTTCAAGACTACTGAATTTAAAAAAAAAAACACCAATACATAAAAAACCAAAACAGAACACTTATCTGCAAAACAGGTAACTCTTACCAGGTGCACTTTGTGAATACCGATACTCTGGAACAGAGGCTAATTTTGACCCAAAATCATGGTCATGTGGAATGGGTGAACCCTCCCGAGACAGGCACTCTGGAGTCTGTAGGCCACTAGAATGGGGGGACATTAGCCCCGGATGAGTAGGTGAAGCAGGAGCACTCCTTTAAACAAGAGAGGCATCATGTATGTCAGTAAAAGTCCAAAGCGTTTAAATATAAGGGTGGAAAGAAATTAAAAAACAAACCGAACACAAAACTCCAACATCTATATCCTACACTCCACCCTTTTACTAAACCTTTCTTGTGCTGCTCCTACCCCCTAATATATTTGCAACACAACCATTCTTGGCAGTGACAGCTTGCCAACTGACAATATAAAACCACAGTTTTAAAGCTCCATTAAGTGAGAGGAGAGTGCTTTGTTTGTGGCTTTGCAGTAGAAGCCACAAAATCCAAGAGCATCTACTCCCTGACTGAAAAAACTAGCCAGCCCTCCATGAACATGCCTTAGCATTCTGCAGTCATGAATCAGCTGGCCCCTATTTCATATATATAAATTATCAACGTGCAAAAATTCACAGTTGAGAAAATCAAAACAAGCACTGGGAGTACGACTTGCTTTATACACATAACAAACATATGACAAATGAACAAATGAAGAGTTCATTCCTCTCCATTAACCAATGTTCTATAAAACCATCCATACTCAGTAGGTTATTTAGACTTGTGATTTCTAATCAAAGAATGGGGCTTATGGAGCAAAGTTGGACTTAATACTTTGGTCAGGTTCTGTTACTGGAAACAGGAGGGCTATCAAAGTATTTCGCAGTTAGGGATGGAAAGGGAGAATGAAGACAGAGAGAAAGAGAGGCAGAGATGGCGGTAGGAGGAAAGCCCTTTTTAAGCAAACTGGGACACAATTGGGGGAGATAAGGATGTAGGAGAAGCAGTGTTTAAATGGGACTGATGAGGGCAAAGAGAGCAGGTACTCAAAATTAAATTTATAGTCAATATTTAAAACATAACTATGAAAAATCACAGTCTCTTCAGCTAGACACCTTTAAGCCATCTTTAACTCTCCTCCCTCCTCCATTCCCCCCCCAAAATATATATGTATGTCTCCTCTCTATTGACTCCTACTTTCAAATGATTCTGATTTGTGCCTTGTGCCTTCCTCCATTCCTACAGTTTAGATTACTTGACCAATCTTCTAACTAACTTTCCAGCTTCCAATTTTTGTCAACTTAAATTGAGACTACATCCAGACTTGTCATTCTAAAATACCAGATCAATGAGTCCCTCCCTTATAGCCATCAAGTCAAAACTCCTCTGTTTAGCTTTCACGGTTCTTCATAATCTAGCCCTCTCCTATTTATACAGTTTTATTTCCCAGAACTACAAGATAAATTCTCTGCTCTAGCCAAGCCAACGTCTTCACTACTGTCCCAATAACATCAAACTCATTTCTATCCTTTATTCATGCTGTTAACACTTCTGGAACATTCTCTTTACTAATCGTCCAAATCCTAATCAAAGCTTAGTTCAAGATCTGCTGCTGCTTTCCTCAAACTTCCTTAACTATTCAAACCCATACTAATTTCTTTCATTTCTAAATGCCCATTATTCCTATAGTCAGTACTATGCAGCTTAGTATTTAACTGGTCTTTAATTCTTGGAGACAAAATGTGTCTGGTTTCCCCAACTAGACTGTAGAATGTAAGCTCCCTGACGGCCAAGATCTTGCCTTATGATTGAGAGATACAAGTGCCAGGCATACACTGTGTTGAGTATATGTCTGTTGATTGATCAAATGACTTAACTAACTTAAAATGAAAATAGTTTAAGAAAAAGTGGCTACTTTAATGACATTTCTCTTCTCTATTTCTATTTTAAAATACATCAGGTGTTATAGATAATAAGGTTTGCAGTATTCCAAGGGTTGTCAAAACCATTTTGCAAGCTCCTACCCATACTAGCATAGCCAACAATTCTTTGTTTTGGCTGCTGTTATAAAAAGAATGGGATTCTCAATGACAAACTATGACAAGTAAGTAAAATGTTATAATTTAAATTTATAACAATACTAGAGATTAAATTTTAAACTACAAAAGTAATTTTGTTTGAAGTTACACATTTTAAAATATAAAACTATTTTCATGAAAATCAGTGCCATTTTTTATTGCTTTTAATGTATCCTTTCATATATCACCTAAACTAACAAGTATATTTTAAAGGGTCATAGATCATCATGTTCAAGTAACATCAATCAATTTACCTTTTAAATGTTACAGAAATTCATTAGTTTCTGAATCATATTCTTAAAAGATTTGGGTGCCTTTCAGAGCAAAAAATAGCAAGATTTTTCTCTCTATTTAAAGTGAAATTTCTTTTTCCTAATAGCTTCAGAACAAGAAAACCAAAAGGTGAGTCAGACTGATATTTACCTTGATGACAAGGGCCCAAAAGGGGTTCGGAAACAGGACACTCCTCTCTGTCTCCGTTTCCGGAATGCCTGTTCTACTAGCTTGGCTTCTGATGCTGGGTCAATTCGCCAAAAGGAGCCCTTTCCAGGCTCCTCCTGAGAACGTGGGACTTTAATAAAGTAACGGTTCAAGGAGAGGTTGTGTCGAATAGAATTCTGCAGGGAGAGAAAAGACAGATCCATCAATTATTGACCAACTTGGAAACAGCTCACATGGCACCAAGAGATTACAGGAATATTGCTGTAAACGAAGAGTCACAAAATAATGGAAAATAATCTGAACACTGAGCTAAACAACTACAGAAAAACGACCGTGAAAAATGTATTAAATTGGTGGCAAAGTGTGTTTTCTTTTATCATTGTTGGGGGGAAAGCAAAAAGAACTTCCAAAGAACACTATCATTTTTCTACTGTATTTTATGACACAGAACAGTTAATTCCCCATTATACAGAGAGCAAAAAAAATTCAATATCATAGTGACTATGTATAGTTCAAGAGCAAGTCAGTTGACAGAGCTAAGATTAGTGGTTGCCTATCTAGCTCCAACCTATTTTTCCAGCCTTACCTCCCATTACTCCCCTTTACACACCTTATGCTCCAGTTTAATTGGACTCCTAGGAGGTCTTGGCCAAATCATTTCAACTTGATGGGCCATAGTGTCTTCATCTAATGGAAAGAGGTCTAGATCTGAAGTCAGCAGACACCTGGATCCAAATCCTGCTTCCCATACTTACTAGCAGTTATGGATGCATGAAGTCACTTAATGTCACTAATCCTCAGCTTCCATAACTGTAAGGTTTGATGGGAAGACATATCTCACTTCCTTAAAGATTTCTTCTAATCTCTTTAGCCATTTTTTGATACCATATCCCTTCATACACATTTCTCTTGAGGTACTTTTTAAAAAGCTTATATTAGAATCATTTGTGAACTTGTCACTTCCCCTTGAGGCCAAAGACCTGACCAGGGAAAAATTAATTTGTATTCATTTTTAGACCTTGGCAGCGCTCAGCACATTGCCTTGTACTATGTAAGTACTTAAAATATGTGTATTCAATCATTCAAGTTTATTCAATTTATTCAAACTGAGAAAGCTAAAATAAACACATATATTCAGAACTATAAGGCACATCTACAAAAGTATGAATAGAACAATAACTAGAGGTACCACTTTTAGACTAGAGGGAAAGGCTAGAGGGAAAAGGCTCCATAAAGAAAATGGACACGGTTAAGATCATATTAGACTTCATAACAAAATGTCCTTCACACTTCAGGAAATGCTTTTTAAGAGCCGCCAAAGAGCTGGCCTTCTGATTACAGTTCTTCCCTTCTGATCTTCATAGAGAATTTCAGAGAAATGGCAGAAATGTCCAACTCACCTGCCAGCCCTTGTCAGCAGTCCTGTAGTAAGGGTAATGCTTGGTGATATGGGCATAGATGCCACTTAGTGTTAACTGTCTGTCCTGGGCTGAGGATATAGCCTGAACTATGAGCTGAGCATAAGAATACGGTGGTTTTGATTCATCCTGAGGAGAAAAAGAGAACACAAGGGGAGGTCTGAGAAATAACAAAATTCACATGTCACCAATAGAAAGCACAGGAATTATCTCAACTTCTTAAATTAGGTTCCAAACAACTGGTGTTTTGAGATTACAAAAAACTGAAAAGTATCTACAGTTTAAACTTATCTCTGTTTCTTTCCAAATCTGCTTCACACTCACACACTTTCGTGTTAAGTAAGAGTGATCATTCCTACTTCAGGTGGAGGCTGGAAGTTACCAAAAGCATATGATTTTGAGCTTCTTTTTTTACTTCCTCCACAATGAGATATAAAACTGCGTTACACAGTAGAAAATAAAGTCCATAAAGATAAATTAGGGCATGGTGATTTTACATGGGGATAGACTGCAACTCTGCTCAAAATTTCTAACACAGACTCTTTGAAATAGAGAAGGGTTGTTAACCTTTTTAGTGCCATAGACTCCTCTGACAGTCTGGTGACACCTATGAACCTTCTCAGAATAAGGTTTTTAAATGCATAAAATACAAAGAATTACAAACGGTACCAGTTATATTGAAATACAGTTCTAAAAATACTTAAAAAGCAAATTAACTTACTCCAGGTTAAGAACTCCTGAAACCAAATATTCATGTATATCTGACATCAAAGGACATTACCTAAAAATATACCTAAGTATACTATTCTGTACTTCATATGAAGGCAATGCTAAATATGATATGAACCAGAAACAGCTTATTTATATGGCACACTGTGAGAACATTCTCAGGAAATATCATTATATCTCAACAAACCTTTGGGCTGTCCCCTCCAGATGTGTCTGCCTGCTGCTCTGATGCTGCCTTTGCTGCAAATTCTGCAGCCAGCTGCAGGTCCGAGGTGACATTCTGAACAAAGCGATATCCTGAGGATCCAGCACCACGAGGACTCGCTGGGCAGGAGTTGGGAACACTAGAGAAAGAAAAAGACACAACATAATTTTGCTGCCATTAAAAAAGGTGGGTTTTTTGGAAGTGGTTCTTGAATAATAAATAGGGGACAATAAATAAAATTAATAGCAGAAGGCCCCTTTTATTCTATATATTTTATTAAGCTTTATAGCCCCTTCTTAATGCTATAAAGTATAAACTAAAGTACAAGGAAAAAACAATGTATAGATGGCTGAACTGATATTTCAGCAACTATCTCCCCTCCTGGATAGAAGTTTCATCATCTCAGTGACTGATACTGCCATATTATGGTGGAAACTCCATACAAAAACACATGGGAATAGATGCCCACACTCATTCTTCGGCACTGTATTTTTACATATCCTCATCTGATCACCTGTTTCCTTGTTGGTTTTGCCTGAAGGCACCTGAAGTATGAAGATGTTATAGTACTTTCTCTCATGCTTAAGGAAAACATAGAATTCCAGGGCCCTCAGAAATCATATAATGCACCAACGCCCTCCAACATCATCATCATGTGGCCAACCAATCTTCAGTGATGCAAAATTCCTTCCCTTGCAAGACAGTGTATTCCATTTTCAGGCAGATGTAATCGCATATAAGTTCTTTCCTTACATTGAGCAAAAACATTTGCTTCCCAGTAACTTCTACCCACGGGTCTTGGTTCTGCCCTCTTCAAGCCATACAGAATAAGTCTTAATCCTTCTTCTACCAGACAAACTTTCAGATACTTGATGACAGCTGTTATATATACTCACTCTCTCCTGTGTCTTCCCTTTTCAAGGCTAAACCTAAGTATACTTCCTCAAATGACATGTCTGAGTTTTTATTACCATGATCCTAATTCAATGTCTCTTCTAAGATGTAGCATCCAGTGTTGAGTACACTATTATTGTTAACTACCCCTTTTAAAGTCCTATTTGAATATTCCTTAGAATTTTACATCAATAATTTCCCCAAACAATGTTCTTCTCCCCCTGTCATTAAACCATCTGCTTTGTAAAAAGTAAAAACATTTAAGCCAAATTTACTGACAAAATGACTATATCTGACAACATTCTGCTCCTAAAGTCCCCCATCTCTTTATTAAGTGTGTTTCATTAACTGTTCTTCAGTACCTTCTTTCCAGGTCACTTCAATTAGTCTCATTTCAGCTGTCTTTTAGTGTTGTTTTTTGCTTACATTATTGTAACCACTATGTAGATTGTCCTCCTGGTTCCAATGATTTCACTCTGTATCAGTTTGCACAAGTCTTCTCACACATTTCTCTAAATTCCTCATATTCATGATTTCTCACAGCACAGTAATGTTCCATTATATTCACATGCTAAAATTTATTTAACCATTACCCATTTGATGGTGAGTCACTTGTTTTCAGTTTTTTTTAGTACCTCAAAAACTGCTTCTATTAATATTCTGTCATATATGGGGCTTTTCAGTTCTTGACCTCCATGGTGGAAGTAAAACAGTGGGACTACTAAGTCAAAGTATATGAAAAGTTTAGTGACTTCTTTCACATAATTCAAAATCATCACCCCTTTTTTCTAAGCACTACAATTTAATTAATGCAGCCTAAGAGCATCCACATCAAACTACTGGCTCATATTGAGCTTGCCATATAATCTTGACTTTGTTTTAAAATGAGTCCCTTAATGTGGGCAATATATTAACATTAGAAAATAGGTTGACGGATGAACGACCTTAAGTTCCACATTAACATTTCTGATAAGGAAGATATTTTGTTTTAGTGGTCCACAAGATGGCACTATAAGAATAGAAAAGCTAAAAGAACTATGCATATAAAATGACAAATACTAAGGAACTTAACATTTGTTACACCAACCAGAAGTACTGCACATACGGCGGATTCAAATAAATCAGCAAAATCAGTCTGTGGTGATAATACATCCTGACTTTATAGAGACAAAGTTACTCAAGAAGAAGTTGATACAACTGTCCTTCTGTGGAGCCTAACAATTCAGGAGATGCCATATTTCAACATACTTCAAAAACATTTTACCCCTTATAGTCTCTCCCCTCCTCATAATACAACAGGATTTTTAGATTCATAGGATGCTAGAACTGGAAGAGACTCAACCCTAACAGGTGTTTGATCAACCAATCCCAAGAATGGGATGATGGGTCTCATCCCACTTTTCCTTGTGACAGCCAATCATGGGGCTTGTTTGCAACACATCTACCCAACCAACACTCTGTCCCTCCTCCTTTCCCCCATTTTATGGCTGCAACAGGCCCTGAGCCTCTGATCTCAAGGGCAATGACCAGAAAGAACCTTCTTCCCCTTACCCCTTTTTATTTTGGTGAGGAAGAATGAGTTGCACGGGATTAGCACACATGGATAGGATGCAATTTACATCATAAATATCCTTCCATGAAAACCCACCCCTTTTCTCTCTTTCAGTGTATCACCACTATCTTTCCAGTCATGCAGGGTCTTACCCTCACCTCCTCTAATTCTCCCTCACTCCATCCATCAAATTAGTTGTGAAATCTTGTTGTTTCTTACTCCGCAACATCCTCTCTCTCCACTCACACAGCTACCACCCTAGAGGTTCAGACCTATATATCACCTCTCACCTGGACAAATGCAATGGCTTCCTTTTCCCAATTCAATATATCCACCACACAGTTGCCAAAGTGATTTTCCTAAAGTCCAGGTCTTATCAATACATCCTCAACTCCCAACTTAATAAACACTGGTGCTATTTTCTATTACTTATAGGATCAAATAAAAACTCCTGTTTAGCATTTAAAGCCTTTCACAACCTTATCTCAACTTAACTTTCCAATCTTGTTATATCCCCTTTTTGTATTCTGCAGCTCAATCAAACTGGTCTTTTTGCTGTTCCCTGCAATCATACAAAAATACCAGTAAATATCCAAATATGACTGAGAAATAAGGTCATATACCACTCATTAAATGGAACCACATAAAGAAAGAGGAATAATAGAAAAAACTTTCTGCTGAGTTGAGACAAGATAATTCACTTTTGTTTGTTTTTGTATTATGTATGGTAAATATTGATACACAGGGAAATACTGAAAAGCTGATATGCTGACTAAGGATTATGACCCCTTATTTGTTTGTGTTGAGTATCTTTCAACAAAAAGGTATCTTAAAGGAAATTCACCTTTATCTAGTTATCTTGATCAAAATGACTAAATAATTGCTATTATACAATTAAAGTCTGTTCTATCCCCCAGGTCATAGACAGGGATTTGGAAAATACTGAAAGTATATTCAATCACATTGCTCTCAAGAGCAAAACATTTTTTGTACCATTGACAAAATTTAAAGATTCAAAATATTATTTCATCTATCTCAACGTTTAAACATTTTTGTATTATATATAATTTATTATTACAATAGTATATCATTTATAAATAAATGAATATACACATTGGGAGTTTATGCTCAAATTTTTTTGAGTGATGGAGTGAAAGATCAAAGAAGACTAGAGACAATGGATCTAGTCTATCCTTTTCTTTCTACTCTTTCACCCTCATTCCTCATTTACAGAAGAGTCTAAGACCTACAGAAAAGAGGTAACTAGCCCAGTGTCACAGAATTAGTCAGTGGCAAAGCCAGAACCAGAACCTAGGTTCAGTGTTCCTTCTGCTGCATTTTATGACAATTAGGAACAAATCAACATGTAAGATGAAGAGATACTTAGGAAGAAGAGATTTCTTAGACTGCTCCAATTCTGACAGTGCCTACCCCATTCTTTAATAATAGGTTAATAACAAAAGTATGAAATTATAGAAAACATTTATTTTGATTACATGCTCTTGTTTTGTTTCCTCTACAATACAAATCCCTGCAGGTAGTTATCTCTTAACTCCAAGTAATTGCTCTATGATATTTTATCTTTTATTCTAGTTATAGGTTTATTTTCTATAATTGGTATAGATACCAGTTATTGACTTAATGTGTTTAGATTTTGAAATTTATTTTGACTATAAAATATTCCAAAAATAACATATAATAACACTCAACATAAATTGGGAAAATCTAGGCTAAGTGGGATGAGAATCAGGCAGTACAGAGCAGAAGCCTACCTGAGAAAACCTAAGGAGGGGAAGGCATGAAGATACTTAAAAAAAAAAAAAATCCAGTGTACTTATGAAGCCTTATAAAAAGAAGCATACTTTGTCCTGTCTCAGGTAATGATAATTTGCTGGAGATAAGCAACAAGGCCTATGCTGCCTCTTTCAAGATAGTAGTTTTATAAAGGTCATGGTGGATTTATGTCTAAACTCAGGAAGGCAAAACTCAAAGAAAAGCTCATAGCTCCCTACAGTATGATTTCAGATAGAAAGAAAAACCAAAGCTCAGCAAAATGTGACTCAGGAAAAGGAAAAGAGGAAACAACATTCTGTTTACAACTTTTTATACCACTAAACTACTGAGTCTGATTTGTGCCGATAAATTCATTTGGGAATAAAATCAGACTACACTGTAGTTTAAAGCTAAGGACATAATACAATATTGCAGTTTATTGATGCTGGAATTCTGAGAGTTTTTCCAATAGTGACTGGTTAAGGGAGAATGTCTATTTGCTTACACAGCTTTTTTGGTCTTCAAAGATTAGTGCCTCAATACTTTCCATTCAGTTACACTCTAGAAAGCTGAGGACAGACAAGAGAACTGTAATTGACTACCAAGTTTAATTAGCTAACCCTTATAATAAACCACCCAAATATGGGAAAAAAAATTTTTTTTTAAAAGTAAGACACCACATATCTTCAGAAAATTTGGGTGTAATAAATTCTTGTTGGTCTAAAAAAAGTCATGCGAGTGTTTCCAGGCAGAGGATGCTGTCCTAGTTACAAAAATGGCATGATTTTTATCCTTTGGGACAACACGGAGGAACCACAGGCAGTAGTTTTGAAAAGCTGACTGAGAAGTCTGAAGTATCTAATGTTGGAGTTTTATTCTAGTACAGTTAAAAAGTTTACTGAAGGTTAGGAATTAAGATA